AACGGACTTCTTCTCTTGTAGAGCAAAGGCACCACACCTCTTGCTCCACCACCTAAACCTGTTCGAAGAAGATTGAAATCAGAAGATGAATTAAAACCAGAAGTTGATGAACACACACAAAAGACAGGTGTCTTAGCTGCTGTGCTTGCATCACAGCCTTCAATTCCTAGGTAATCAGAGCTGTCCCTAGACAAAAGGGGCAAAAAGCACAGCACTTAATGTATCAGAATGAAGGAAATTATGGTCAGACTGGGTCTCTAGTTGAGAAGAGGGTCCCAGGTGCTCCTCTTTGAGAGTTTTTTGAGTAGTTGTAATATTCTCCCCACTTTCCCCCTTTCTGTTATCTGGCTCAATTCCAGCTTCATTTTAACAACCTAATGCAAACCCTAGAGCAGAGTTTTTTAAAAATTAGTATAGAGTAACAATAAGATTTTAACTATGGTTGCCCTGAGCCAAGAATCAGCCAGCTAGGCTTCATGGGCCAAATTCATCCCGTGGCCTATTTTCTTAAGGCCCAGAACTAAAAATGGCTTTTATATGTGGTGTAAAAAAGAGAAGGGAGAGAAAAGAGAAAAAGAAACCAAAAACAAGAATATGCTGCAGAAATCAGATGGCCCACAGATTAAAATATTTACTATGTGGTTGTTGATAGAAAAATGGTTACCTGCTCTGGACTAAAAGGTGATTCTACAGAAAAAGAATGAGAACAAAAACAATAAAACTTAATCTTCTGAAACTTAGATACTTTTGGTTGACCACTGAAACTGAGCAAATGATGTTGAGCTATGCTATTAAGGCAAAAGATGTTCCCTCTACTTTCTGGATTTAGAGACAGGTCAGGGAAGAATGGAGAGAGTTTAAAGATAAATGACAGTCATATTTTCTTGCCCTCTTATTTTCTCAGGTCTGTTGGAAAAGATAAGAAAGCAATTCAGGCATCAATTAGACGCAATAAGGAAACCAACACAGTTTTGGCCAGATTGAATAGTGAATTGCAGCAACAATTAAAGGTATTCTGAATCTTTACTTGGGGAATTCCATGGACTCAGAACATCTCAGTTAACTGGAGCTTAGAAGTGATCCAGCATTTTTAAGCTAGTATGAAACTTCCCAGGTAGTAAGAGAAATGTGTATCTAAAATGTTTTTTACACCGTTGAATCTTTGTATATTAGAAGGATTTTTTTTATACTCAATTCTGATCTGATTGTCTTACCATATATTTATATATATATATATATATATATATATACACGACACACATACGTGTATGTCTCATATATATATGCACATATATATATGGCATCACTGTTCCTATAATATTCCTGAACTTTCATAATGAAACCCAAGAGAGGAAATGTGACCTTGAGCACCACCAAGATGATATATGTGGTTCCCTATACTCTTACTTAATTCTCAGATGACTTGAGTATTGTTGGTTTATCCTTTTATCAAAGACAACTCAGAGTCTCTTAGAGATAAACTGGTCTAAAGAAGATGGGGACAGTTGAGATCATTTTCCATGTGGAAAAGGACAGACAAGCCTTAGGTAGAAGTGATGCTTATGGCCCGTGTGTACTCCCATCATTTACACTTGAGAGGAATGGATATGTTTTTCTTTCTTACCACTGTGATTTCTTTGAATCTCTGCAAATAAAAATGAGCTAGAATCATTTATGGTTTACCAACATTAAGCATTTATATCTTATAAACCAGTGACTCTCACATCTCAGTGTGTATACAGTTAGTCAGTGATCATGTTAAAATACAAATTCTGATTCATATTAAATATGGAAAGGGACCTGAGGATTCTGCATTTCTCATAAGCTTCCAGATGATGGAAATGCTGCTGGACTGTTGGTCCCACTTTGAGTAGCAAGGTTATAAACCACAAAGATGAGAGAAGAGTCCATGAAAGTGTAAAATGAATGCAGAGTTAGTTTGTTCCCATAATATTCTGTTGGTACCCCTCATCCAGCATTTATCACACTATCTGGTATTTTTATCTATGGCACATTTGTCTCTTTTCCCTACTAAAATGAACTCACTGAAAGTCATAATTTTTTCTGTTCAGGGTGCCTCTCTCTCTCTCTCTCTCTCTCTCTCTCTCTCTCTCTGTGTGTGTGTGTGTGTGTGTGTGTGTTCCAAATTCCAAACCAAAATACATTGAGAGAAAAGAGAGAGGGATGTGTTAACGCTCAGGCAGGACATCAAAGTCAGCGAGGACTCCCTAGATAAATTTGTAACCATCCTGTCTCTATCCCTAAAAATCTAGCGCATGTTAGGAATTGGTAAATATCTGTGAATGAATGATATTTTTGTATAGCTCTTTGATCAGAGAAAATATTTGTAGTCATTCTGTGATTATGAATTTGGTCTGTTGTAAAGGAAGACTATAAAACTAAGGATAAGCTTACTAGTACCTTACCTTGATAATGAAAATTTTGTTGACACTTGTTTTCCTAAAGAACTAAAGGCACCTATAGAAACATGTATATAGGAGCTATTTGTAAAATCACTTTTCTCTCTATCTTGAAAAGAAAATAGGAAGTATGGTACAAAATAGGAAATGGTTCTGGTTAAAAAACTGAGCATGTTCGAGAAAAAAAAGATGAGTTAGGATTTTCTGGCTATCTGAAAAGACTGCTCACAATCAACAGTGGTTAGAAATTCTGATTGCAAAATAAACTTATTCTTTGTGAAACCAAAAGTCAGATGAGGTTCAGGAGTTACCAGGACCAGATAACATCACCAAGGGAAAGAATCTGTGTTAATTGGTTCATCTACTGTTACTGCAGGGGGTAGGCTTTATGCAAAATGCATGCATTAGTAACCCCATTTGCAAATACTGGCTTTTCTGATAACTATAAAAAATATTTTATTACCCTGATTTATTTGGTAAGAAAAAGATTTTAAGGTCATATTTTAATAGTACTGACATATAAAGAAACTCCTTGCTAAGTTGAAGTATCCTCTTAAAATATGAATGACTCTCCCTTTGTCTTAACAAACTGAAATTGTTTTCTTGATGCTGAGTTGTTGTTAGATGTGCCTTCATTTTTATATGCTTTGAAACATGACTTTGCATCTTTTTCAGGATGTTCTTGAGGAGAGAATTTCTCTGGAAGTTCAACTGGAACAGCTTCGACCATTCTCTCACCTATAAGCCAGTTGCCGTTAACTGTGAACATACCCGTTTTTAAGCAGTTTTGGGTTCAAGCCAGTTTGGAGACCCAAACACTCAGCTCACTGCTTAATTCAACATTAAATTTTATGATTCTGTTTTGCCCTACATGTTCACCTGTATTTAAGTATCTTTTATTTTTTAATTTCAACAATAAAAGGGTCAGGATGACTTTTCCTGGAGGAGATATTGTGTCTGTTGGCATAGCCCACCCTTCTTACTCCATAGTATCAGGAATACACAACATTGGTCCAGTATACTTAAGTGGCCAGAACCTCACACTGATTTGATTTACAGAATGGCCTTCCCATTTGTATCTCAAGCAGAGACTGAAATATTTGCAAAAAAAGTCAAAAAAATAAATTGTCAATTTGTCTTTTAGGTTTAATATTTTACATAAAGCATCTGTATTTTGTAAAAATCTTGAAAATGAGTTTCCTACTGAATTTTTTATTTTAAAGAACTGTATTGGATGAGGCCTTCTTTAACCATAATCAGCATTCTTTAGGAGTCATGTGGTACTTTTAGGCTTCAACTTGGAGGTCAGATTTTATAATTTTCCCAGTGAAAATTGAGCAGTTTCACCAGTAACCTAAAATTGTTGTGTGTGAGATTTTTAACTCAGCAGTCATGTAAACTTATGAAATAGCTATGAAGTCAGGTCTTAATTGTCCCCTGGAAGCAAAGGGAAAGTGTTGAACCACAAACGACATAAGTACTGTCCACATGCAAACATCATCATTTTTTGCATGATTTATGCACTTAAGTCTTAGTTAGAAACTTATGCTTATCAGTTGCTACATTTTCTCAGCTATTTTGTCATCCAATCTTTGGTCATAGAGACTGGTTTTTCCTATTAACAGAGCTTCTGAAGTGTGTCCTGTTCAGGTTGAAAAAATGTCTTAGGATTTGTTCCATATTATATGATATATACATTTTGACCATATATGTAAATTTGCATTCACTGCTGACTAACAGCAGATATTCCTTTTAATGGCTTATTCTATGGGATCATAGATGTTAGGCTGCATGGATATATCGTAACAGAATCAAGGTGTGATTTTACACTAAAAAACAGCACAATATTTTAACTTCTCTGCGTTTTTTAACAACAATTTAAATTTTTAAGAATTAGAAGGAATTTATATGTTTATTGAAAAAAGAAAATGTTTAAAATAGCCCAGTTCACAATCCTAGATTGTACTAGTAGATTTTTACTATCTTAAAGGGGAATATGAAACAAAAAGGAAACTGACAAGTGAAAGTTTCCAAGATCAATATCAACTTTAAGTAAAAAATATTACTATTACTGCATACATTAGCAGAAGTTTCCAAGTGGCTAACAGGTTATGACTTCAGTTTGTTAAATAATTAGATGAAGGTTTTACAGATACAAAAGACCACGAAACACGTGTTTTGCTGTTTCTCTTCAAACAGAATTGTCTTAACTTCTTTATATTTGTTTCTTTTTAAAAAATCTTTTATATATTTACTTAAGAGAGACAGATCACAAGCAACAGGGAGTGGCAGAGGGAGAAGCAGATCCCCCACTAAGCAGGGAGCTCAATGTAGAACTTGGTCCCAGGACCCTAGGATCATGACCTAAGCCTAAAGCAGATGCTTAACCAATGAGCCACCCAGGAGCCCTTTATTTTTGTATCTTAAAGGTATTTTGTGTTGTTTTTTTTCCCCAACAGCCTTCTAATTTAGCAATGTCTAATTTAACTTTTTAAAGCCTCTTACTTGGAGGGTCTAAAAATTTTAAATTTGCAACCAAAAAACACTTCAAAAATCATAGGAAACTTTTAGTACTTTGTAGGAATTTATTTTTAATGCTCTCTGGAGGAATATATTCATATTAAAGACATGTGACAGGTTTTTTGCCAAACTGCCATTTATATTTTTATACACATTTTAAAATCAATAATTATATCATGAAAATGTATAATGATATGATTGGTAAGTCAACAAAATATTTCTCTAGACTGGTCATTTAAGAAACACTTTTTTATTCTGACTTTTTCATTAGCTCATAAAACAAAACTTCAAATATGCAATTATCTTTGTTGTGTCAAATTTTACTGCCTATGAAAAATAACCACCAAAAGAAGTGCTTCAAAATTTTGGACTCAAGTTGTTGTTCTGTACATTTCTTTGCATAGTTGAACATAGATGATAAAGTTAAAAGTTAGGAGGGACTTTATGGGTCATCCTACTTCACTCTCCCCATCCGTGAGAAATCATTCTGCTTCCTACTGCATCTTCTGGAACAGGGATCTCTCGGTCTTTGCCAGGGAGAATTAGCACCCATAATATTTTCTTACTTCTCCATACTACTTTTGATTGCGCTTTGAAGTACTGACAACCATAGGAATTTATCATCCTCAACCTCTGTAGCACAAATCCATTCACGTTTTGGACCATGAAGAATAAATGCATTCTTGATATCTGTAAAAATATTTAAGGTCCACTAATTAATCTTGGCAGGTCACAATCAAAAGAAAAGAAAATGTTACAAAATTCAAAATTGATCAAGTCATCTTTAAGAATTTTTTGAAAACTAAAAAGGATTCCAACAGATACAAGTCCAGTTTAGAATATAACTTCCTAAAAATACTGAATAATTCAAATATAATCTAAAATAATCTTTGTGATTGTGTAATTCTAATAGCAGTTATTTTTAAAGACTGGTAGATGATGTCATGTTCTTTAACTCCTTGTCTCGGTCCTTCTGGAAGGAGGACAGTAAAGGTCCCTCCAGAAGGAACCAATAAAGGTCTGCACTAAGAGTTGGTGCAGGTAGAGATGCTGAGAGCTAGGCCTGGACCACCTTGTTGGAATTAAGCCAACTATGTAGCTGGGTGCCAGCTGTCTAGCGGGTTACATAGTGATGTTTTGACACAGACCACAGCTGACTAAAGGGAGATTGAAAGCAGATGTCCTACCCTCTTTAACCATTCCTGGTGATTATAGGTAACTCATATCAGTTGAGTTTGTTTTCTAGGTGGAAATATTTATTTTCCCCTTTGGTGTTCATTTTTTCTCAGGTTCAGATTTAAAATGAGGCTAAAACTAAAGGGAAGAAATCCTCTTTTAACTTTTTTTTTTTTTTAATTTTATTTATTTATTTGTCAGAGAGAGAGAGAGACCACAAGTAGGCAGAGAGGCAGGCAGAGGCAGAGAGAGAAGCAGGCTCCCTGCCGAGCAAGGAGCCCGATGTGGGACTCGATCCCAGGACGCTGGGATCATGACCTGAGCCGAAGGCAGCCGCTTAACCAACTGAGCCACCCAGGCGTCCCAGGAATCCTTTTTTAAAGGGTGAGTTCCTTCTATAAGACCTTTATTCCAGCTTTAACCTTAAGTCCTGCCTTGACATGCGGTGAAGAGTATTGGAATGAGAGCTGTTCCATTCAGATTGCCTAGCAGAAACTGAGAAAAGAGAAGGATCCTTTTAAGCTTGGCAAGTAAAGTGTAGGTAATAACTAAAAATAGACCTAGTATTTTTAAGTAGGATTTCTTTTCGTAACAGATGACAGTTCTATTGAGGTTATTAATGAATGAAATGTTTGTTACTAAACATCTTTGCAAATCTGTCAGTTACAGAAGAACTATCAACTTGAATATGAACTTATGGAAGCAAAGGTACACTTCACTGTAATAATCTGTAATAATCACTGTAATAATCACTTCATCTTAGTGGAATGGAAACAGCATATAAAAATCTAAACTAGTAACATCTATAGGCAGTATTGAGTCCTAGTAAAATGGAAAAGTGATAGGTAAAAGTATAAAATTGTAACATTTACAAGCTGTGGTGAGTAGTGGCTCTCTTGTCAGATTGCTTCAAAGAGCTCAGGATGATGTGGGTTTGTGCTTCTCTTTGTGATTTTTGAAAGTTGTTTTCCTAATATGTAGGGTACCTGTCTGACAATGCCAGCATTCCTTTCTTTTGCTATTTCCGATAGATGCAAGTTTACATTAATGAAATCCTAAAATTATTTGGAGAACTATTTGCAAACTTTCAAATGAACATTCCAGTACTTTTCCTACTTTATATTTTAATAGTTAATGAGCATTATGTAATACGGGTTTCTAAAGGTCTTTAACTCTTGGAAGAAAAAGCATACATACATTTAGAATCTGGAATGTCCTCTACAAGTAACCTATGAAGGGCCACTGATGCAATGAACTGGTAGGTTGATTTTGAAGTCCTCTCAAACGGAGTATGAGCTGTGCCCCGACTAGAAACAAGCAGTGCATCATTGAAGAGGAAAAGACTGAGGTCACGGGTGTGTTCATAGGACCTGTGTTAAAGTGGAGAAGGGTTACATAGTAGGCATACACACATGCTTTGTTACACAATTCACCATTTTGGCGTTGATAAGCCAATAGTTGGTGGTTTTGCCCGCTGCAGACAGGTTGAAATGGCTCATTGGAGTTCTCAGTAGTTTTTCTCCTGGTGTAAATAGTCTCTTCTGTCTCTCAGACCACTCCTATGGGGGGGCCTCAAGGCTTCTGGTGGAATGCTTTGAACTTACCTAACACTGGATAAGCATTCAGTGTGGGAATGTGGAGGAAAGAGACATTGAACTTTTCCTCCTTTACAACATGAATCATGCTAGAGCTGTGTTAAACTTCTGTCAAGTTTGGTACTTTGTGTCTGATGTATTTGGGCAATCTGGGGAAAGTTTCTGTTTGGTTTGGTTTCGTCTTCAGTGTAACAGGTTGGGGTAGAGAAAAGCACAAGAACCAATATGACATAAGGTGTCTTAAGTACACAGCCGGGAAAAGAAAAGCATTTAACTACTAGGTAGGAAATTAAAATTTTCCTAATTATGGTTGGAGGGAAATCAATAGATAACATACTTCATCAGTATGAAAGGTGAGAATTAAGTTAACTCTTCATTTTCACGGAGGTTGCTATGATGGTCAGCTGTAGGCATGTTTACCAGCAGGCAAAATGTGCCCTCAGCCTCCGTCTGTTACCCTCATTACACTGTTGTGTTATTGGAGCCAGGTCTTGTGCTTGGCAGGCACCAGTGTACTCTCCTTTGGGTTTGCTTGTGTGAGTACTCACCAGGGAGTCAAGCAGTGTGTTGGGGAGGAGCGGAGTGGGGGAGCGCCCACTTCCCAGTGTCTCTAGCCTCCCTCCCCCCACGTTGGGAAGATAACCAAAATCTTTTTTCTCTTAGAAGCATCAAGCAACCCCCACTTGCTCGAAGGAAGGGAGTCCATATACTGGCTTGATGTTCAGAGGAAGTCTCATTTTTAATCTTCACTATTTTTTTTTAATTGCCATTTGAAGTCTACATAAACTTTTACATAAATGCTAAAGTGGCATCAATTCATACCATTGGCTTTTTTAAGTGTCCTTTTTTGTTTCACTTTTCTCTTTTGGCTTGGGTCCCTTCTCCCTTCACTCAGGTCACCCAAATTACCCAACTCCTACCTGTCTTTGTTTTCTTACTTGCTCAGGTAATCACACACATATGTACATATATACACATCTATTTACAGGTAGGTTGCCATTATTTTACAAAAATGGTAATATCCACACTCTTTCTGTTTTTCTCACTTAGCAATGGAAATGACTTCAAGTTAACTGGTATGGCTTGCTTTATTTATTTATTTATTTATTTATTTATTTTAAGATTTATTTATTTATTTGAAAGAGAGAATGTAAGTGGAGAGAGGGGCAGAGAGAATCTCCCACAGGCCCTACACTGAGTGGGGAGTTCAATGCAGGGCTTGATCCCAGGACCGTGAGATCATGACCTGAGCTGAAATCAAACTCAGATGCTTAACCGACTAAGCCACGCAGGTGCCCCTTTACCTTATTGTTTTTAATGGCCAAATAATACTTTATGGTGTGTGTAGACCATCATTGATTCAACTCTTCTCCTTTTGGTGTCCACTGGTGTGTACAGGCTTGGGTCTCTTTCCTACCTTCTTTTCTCCTTCCTTTCACTTGTTTATGGCCAGTATGTGTAATGTTCGAATAAACTGATCTTTATTTACAATCAAATCCCTTACATGTGTTGTTATTTCTATCAGATAGGCTTGGGGGGGTGCTATGGTGGGCAGGTAGGATTGATTGGTCAAAGGTTTTATGTATTTTTATCAAAAACCTCCGGATTGCTGTCCTTAAAAGCTACCATAATTGCCACTTAGAATCCACTTTATATAATAATGGCTCTGACTTGTACATAATACAAACTTTAATGTCCCTCTAAATTACCTGGAGATTTTTGTTAAAATGCAATTTGAAGGTAGTAGAACTAGAGTAGTGTGAGAGTTTCTGCATCTCTGACAGCTCCCTGAAGATGCTGATGTGCAGACCACATTTTGAGGAGTGAGGCAGTTAAATCACGTATTAGTTACAACCATGTCATGCTAGGTGAAGGACTGGATCCAGAACTGAAACATTTTTTTTTTTTTTTAAGATTGTATTTATTTATTTGACAGACACAGTGAGAGAGGGAACACTAGCAGGGGGAGTGGAGGGAGAAGCAGGCTTCCTGCCGAGCAGAGAGTCCGATGCTCGATTCCAGGAAGGACCCTGGAATCATGCTTAATGACTGAGACACCCAGGCGCCCCCAGGACTTAAAAATTTTTGAAGAATACTATATTTCAGGTTCAGCTATTCAGAGAGTGTTAGTGAGGTCCTGGCTCTGTTAGGTGTATGGATAAACAGAAATGCCCAACCGCTGGAGCCAGCTTTTCCTTTTTCATGCATTTCCTTCCCATTTCTGTGTGGCTGTGAGTTAGGCTGGAAGGAGTGGGTGCTTCACATACACTGATACCTTGCAAGAAGCAATATTCTAGATCAAGTTGGTAGGATAGTCTGGCAATAATGGTGCCTATAGAACTAGGGATGAGGGAGAGAGGAGGCAAGAAAGGGAAGAGATACTTCAATCTGTATGTAATGGTCTGTATGTGGTGAATGGCCACTCTAGGTAAAAGAACCCCACCCGTATTCTTACCCTCTTTTTGTTTAGCAATTTTACCTTACTACTGATACGAACAATTATTTCTCCTATCATACCAGTTTAGAGAAATGTTCAAAGCTCTAAAAAAAAATGCGCTATTAAACTGAATTATCAGAGAACGTAATACAAGTTTGCTTTAAAGAAGTGCCTTTGAAAGGTAAAGAATCATTTTTTCATTCGGAAGTGGTAACCCCGAGGGTGGAAATAAATGAAAGAATTCCAGTTTTGTGACCCACGTGGATCGAGCGGGTGGTTGGACCCAGGGAAAAGCAGGAGCAGGCACATTATTAACTCGGGAGTTGAGACCACTTGTCATCAGAGGACATAAACAGGGAAAGAGGCTTGAAAACACACAGGTTTTCATTATTTCAATCTGATTATGAGAATGCTATTTAAAATAAATCCGAGTTCCATCTAGAAAAAAGATTTTCAAAAGCCATTTACTAAGTTAAGCCCTTCCACAGGCTCCTGGGTGGCTCAATCAATTAAGCATCCGACTCTTGATTTTGGCTCAGGTCATGATTTCAGGGTCGTGGTATCCAGCCCCATGTCGGGCTCAGTGTGGAGTCTGTCTGTCCCTCTTCCTCTGCTCTTCCCACCACTCATGCTCTCTCCCTAAAATGAGTGGATACCATTCTTATAAATAAATAAAGCCCCTCAAGATCTCCAACAATTTTCATCCAAAAACGAGACACACTAAAAAACATAGTAACTCCTCTACATATATAAAAGTAAATAATTTCATCTCTCATATTGACATAATAGAGCAAAGGAAGTGGAAACTATGGATCCTAATAACGTTTCAGAAAGCCACTTCTCATATTCAAAAGAACCAACTCCAAGGGTAGAGTTTTTTCTCCATGAACTTGGATAGGATTTCTTTCCTTGTTCAGAAATAGGTCAAATGACTCAGCAAAATGTAACAGGTCTGTTATAGTTTAAATTCCTAACATCATTCTAGAAATGTTTTATTGTCGTTTATTGTATTAGAAGGCCAAAATGCTGAAGTACCCAATTTCCATAAATACATAAAACCTTGAAAGGAATTTTACAACCTTGGCATGAGCAGACAACAGTGAGCCATAGGTTCTCTGAGCTGACCTGGGTCAAAACTGTAGCTTCTACACATCCACACTCTGACTTGAGGATTACAGTGGCTTTCTGAGTTTCCAGGCTAAGAGCCAATTCAGAGCCAGAGTCCAATATCTCTGGGAAGTCCCCTGTACATAGCTGCCCCAGTAACTGACTGTAGACCCCTTGGGTAAGGCTAAAAAGAAAGTTTACAATATGCATTTTTGGCAGTATAATAGGGTTTTTCCTCAAGAGGACGTGGTCTGAGAAGTGGATGTCTCCCTTTGGTGATTCAAAGCCATGCCACTGCTCACCAGTCCTCGAGGGCTCCGCCTTTTGTCACCTCGGCATCAAGGGAGGGAAAGGGGAACAACAACAAAAGTCTACTTAAAAACCAGCAGGCTGAAAGCCACATAAGTGAAAATTGGTGTTTTCTGGAAAAACGATACAATGAAAGTTCCAAATTACATAATATATTATAAAAGCTTAAACTATCCCCAAATTCTGTGGGCTGTATTGACAGAGGGACGAGTAACTCCAAATTTCTTAACTCTAAAATGACACTGTGACTTCATCTCTACCCAGAGGAATTTTTTTCTTTTTATGATGCAAGTATTTACTGATTTTGTTCTGTGTCGTGGCTCTTGTTTATCAGTAATTTGTTTAGTACTCACTGCTTAGTTGGTAAGTTTATTATGAGGAAGGCTCAGTTCATCTTTCTAACCCGCTGGCCTCGTCAGTAGACAGAGCACTGAGACTTGGTTCTGAATTTTGGACCAGCACTTATTCTGTAGCCTCAGAGAACTTACTTAAATCCAGATTCCCACCCATAACATGGTTCCAGACCTACTTGCCTCAGGAAGGGATTGTAATGAGTGTATCAAATGAGAAAACGTAAAGAATACCGTGGGGCCTGGCTGGCTCAGTTGGAAGAGCATGTGACTCTTGATCTCGGGGGCTGTGAGTTTGAGCCACACATTGGGTATAGAGATTACTATAATAAATAAGTAAAAAGCGTTAATAGAAAATATGGTAAATTATAAAGCCTTATACTCATGTAAGTCAATATTTTATGTATAAATATAAACAGAGTTTTCTTTGAGTAGAAATCTCTAATGGAAGTCACGGGAATGGGATTTCCTGAGTTTTATGTGACTCCAAAATGATAGAAAACAAAGTTACAGACTAAGTATTCTGTAATATCTTTTGGAATATGAACCTCTCTTGCATTTACTGAATTTTAAAAGTTAATGTAAAGTTACATTTAAATTTATTGCTTGACAAATCACTGAGATGGTGCCTATTTTAACATACATATACCTCATAATTAGATTGTAAAATAATTTAGTATTTTCCCATGATCCTCAAATTCTTAAATGTATTCTCTTTGCCCAAATGCTAAATTCTAATAACTGAGCCCTTTGATTTCTGGTTGGACAAGTAAAGAGCTTGCAAGTCCTAACTTCCATCCTCACAACAAAAAAGAAGCTGAAAAACTCAGCATCAACAGCTCTTCTTTGCACCGTCAGAGAATCAAAGCCACAAGGTAAACTAGCACCCCCAAAGCTGGAGAGACACACTGATACAGAGAAACACAGCTTACTGGAAGCAGAACCTCCCTGCTGGAGCAGTGAACTAGTTTTAAGAGATTAAGAACTCCTGGAAGCCTAGCCTGAGGAGAACATTCTCTCCCCACTAGCATGAATTTAAAACTGGCATATGTTTTACTTCCAGGAGCTCCACCAGGTTCTCACTGTGAAGATCAAAGAAAAATGTTTTCATCCATCCTGACAGGGAGAGGAAAGGTAGCCTTTTTGAAATGTGCCTGCAGAGTTCTCTTCTCCTTACCAAAAGACTTCCCTCAGGGGAAACTGTTTTACCAGAATCTAACCAATATTGGGGAAGGGAAACACCTACTTCCAGCCCCTTCTAGCCTTCCTTTCTCTTAGAGACAGTACACAAAATAGAAGGAAACAAAACAAGAAACAGAAAAGAATGAAAAACATTTGTGAAAGTCCTAGCCTGGGGCACAAGCTCACTAAAAAACTAAGACCTAACCATGAAACTATAGAACTCTTCCCTTCTCCTCCTTTCCCATTTGATACAACATCAACAGAATTCCTTATAATGACAAGGGATTATAGCTAAAAAGAACTAGAAGGCTCGCACCCCTATTTAAGGGGTCTCTAGGGAAACTCAATGAGGGAGACAAAAACAAGAACACCAAAATAAATTGTAGCCTGTGACACCACAGCTACAACAATAGTAAACACAGGCTAACATCTAGTCATATAAACATAAAACCTCACACTGAGGACCTATTTGCCTCAGTTCCTTGCCCTTAATACATTATGTCTAGCTTTCAACAAAAAATTACAAGTCATGCTAAGAGGAAGAAGAACAGTTTGATAAGGCAAGCATCAGAACTAGACTTATACGGCAGGGATGTTGGAATTATTAGACCAGGAATTTGAAATATTTATAATAAATAAGTCAAGGGCACTAATGAAAAAGTGGACAACATGCAACAAAAGAACAGATGAGTAAAATAAAGAAATGGAAACTCTAAGAAATAATTAAAAAGAAATTGTAGAAATTAAAAACACTGAAATGGGGGCACCTGGGTGGCTCAGTGGGTTAAAGCCTCTGCCTTCGGCTCAGGTCATGGTCCCAGGGTCCTGGGATCAAGCCCCACGTCGGGCTCTCTGCTCAGCGGGGAGCTTGCTTCCTCCTCTCTGCCTGCCTCTCTGCCTACTTGTGGTCTCTCTCTGTCAAATAAATAAATAAAATCTTAAAAAAAAACCACACTGAAATGGAAATGAATAATGCCTTTGATGGGTTTGTTAGCAGCCTGGACATAGCTGAGGAAAGAATCAATGAGCCTGAAGATACATCAATAGAAACTTACCACGTGAAAAGCAAAGAGGAAAAAAAGATTGAAAAAGAAAGGAACAGATTAACCAAGAAATCTGGGACAACTACAAAAAGTGTACATAGGTCTAATGGGAATATCACATGGAGAACAAAGAGAAAGGAACAGAAGAAATACTTGAAGTGATAATGGCTGAGAATTTTCTAAAATTATTGACAGTTACCAAATCACAGATCCAGAAAGTTTAGAGAATACCAAGCAGGGTGAATACCAAAAAAAAATACCAAGTAGGCATATTACATTCAAACTCCAGAAAATCAAAAACAAAGATAAAATCTTGAAAGAACCCAAAGAACAAAAACAAAACTAAACCAAAACAAAACAAACAAAAGAAAAAACCCACTTTACCAAAGAAGAACAAGAATTGCATTGGATGTCTCCTCAGAAACTGGCAAGCAAGAAGAGAGTAAAGTAGAGTAAGTGTTGAAAGAAAAGAACCCAGCAACCCATAATTCTGTAGCCAGCAAAACTATTCTTCAAAAGGGAAAGAGAAATAAAGATTCTCAAACAAAAATCGAAATTCATTGCCAGTAGGTCTGCCTAGCAAGAAATGTTAAAAGAAGTTCTTTAGAGGGCACCTGAGTGGCTCAGTTGGTTAAGCAGCTGCCTTCCGCTCAGGTCATGATCCCGGCATCCTGGGATCGAGTCCCACATCGGGGTCCTTGCTCAGTGGGAAGCCTGCTTCTCCCTCTGCCTCTGCCTGCCACTCTGTCTGTGCTCACTCTCTCTGACAAAAAAAAAAAAAAAAAAAAAAAAAAAAGTTCTTAAGAGAAAAGGTAAATTATGTAGTTTGGAAATTCAGACTTACATAAAAGGAGAGTGTTACCTTCATGTATACATGAAGGTAAAATAAATTCTAAAAAAGCAAAAAACAAAACCCAGGGCTAATCCTAGCATGTCTCCTACTACACTAGCGTGTTTAGAATTGTTGGTTTGATAACTAGTTTCCTTCCATCACTGCAGCTTGTTTCTATCGCTACTGAACAAAAACAACAAAACAAATAAAACAAAAATACTGATCATGAGAAAAGTGACACAATTGCATGAATTTTCATTTAGAACTACTCTAGGCAAGCATAGAGGTGAAAGCATTGGGTTTCTTCCAACCACTCCCTGACCTACACCTATGGGAAATATTCATTGAAATAACAGGTAAATCAATTTTTATTTCTTTTATTGGAGTTGGACAAATTAAAGGAGTTGATTTCTCTCCACTTGGTTAGTTGTTGAATTGTCATCTTTGCCATTAATACTGAGAATATAGTTTTGCAAACAATTTTCTAACATAGGTATCAGCAAATTATGGCCCCACCATTTGTTTTGTGAAAGTTTTATTGTAACAAAACCACACTTGTTCATTTATGTGCTGTATTATTTATGTTATATCATTATTTTGCTGTTCTTATGTTATAATCGTGAAGTAGTAAAATCATCTGGGCAACAAGACCTAGGATATTTATGATCTGACCCTTTACAGAAAGTTTGCTCATTCTTGTTCTAAAAGAGGAAAGGGGATGCTAGCTTATGGAAATTGTCACCTGCCTTTTTTTCTTACACTGCTGTAAGCACTGTGCAAAACAGAAATGGTGAGACCTCAATATAATGATGGTCTCTTGGTGAGACCTTTGTAATACTAACCTCAATAACTATCAGGATAATTAACTGGTCTTCTCTTTCTTATAGGTGAGCAAATCACTAGTGTGTGACACTCACAACACTTGGCTCTCCTTTCAGTAGGAAAGTGACCAACCTCAGAATTCCTGCTTCTATGCAGTTTGTGGTTCTGGCAGAGATTATATGTTTTCTCCCAATCCATCCAGTAACTGCCTGGAATGTGAATAGGGTAATAAAGCTGCAGGGGAATGTTATGTTTAAGTTTTCAGTCCAGTGCAAAGATCTGTTGCAGACTTAGGTCAGCCATTGTACTGGATCCCAGGTACAAGATAAGCAAGACTAGTCACAGCCATAGGACAGTTCAATGCTTACCTTAAAGAGAAACTTACTGCCTCATCATAGCAGTGAAATTGGGCTACATCTTGGACCCTAATCAGATATCTGCTTTCTTCTGATAGAGTCTATGAAATAAAAAACAAAATCAGAAACATTCATAAATTTGGAGAAAATAAAAAGTATCCCACTGAAGAACTGTTTTATATCCCAGAAGCTGTGTTGAGTAGAACTCAGTTTAATTATGAAAAAGTGGATGTTTTTATTATTGACAAAACAGGTTTTTTTTTTTTTAGAAAGACCACAGACTTCACAATTAAAACTATATTTGAGGGTGTTGTCTAATTTTTAAAACTACTGAAATTACTGTTTTACATATAAATGCTCGAAAAGTCTTCCTAGTATTAAAAAAAAAAAAAAGAGGGGGTGGGACCAGGTAAGATGGGGTCTTTGAAGAAAAGGAAGTGAATGGATTGTTAAAAATTCAGAAGTTAGACCCTTGTACTGATCTAGCCATGAGATGATCACTTGATGTAAACAGTGATCTAGAGATAAATTCCAACTCTGTGAGTTCCAAGATTTTGGACTTTTTGTAATCCAAACTCCACTCTCCATACCAAAATGTGCAGATCTGAATTCTAATAAAACAGCTCCATCTTGTTTCCCCAATTTGACCAAATAAAAATGTTTCAAATTGGTACTTTAGTTCAACATAATTCATATATTGAGCTCCTACTATATGCCAAACATTAGAGGACAAGTAAATTGTAGCTCATGCCTGATGATGTTAACAGGGTTGTAAAAAAGTGTGACAGAGATGTTCAGGGTGCTGCAGAATACCCAAGACGGGGCTTGGGGAGAGGGGCTTACAGCTGGAGATGTTGGGGAAACTTTACAAGGAAGATGATGATTGAACTGGATTTTTAAAGAAAGAATAGTTTACCCAGTGGAGTGGGAAAGGCAATTTCAAGAAGGAAAAGCACGGGCAAAGCACAAATGTGTGGAGAAAGGCTAACATTATTGGAGAACTAAGTAGATTTGCGTCATTTGATCATGAAGTGGGAAGGCAAGGCAGTAAGAGAGAAGGTAGACTGGGACCAGATGATATTCTATAGGGAACGACTAACACCTAAAAATTTTTTCAGATATCCTCAGGGCACAGAATCCTACACCAAGCACTATGTATAGGAAGATATAAAACAATAGAATACATGGTCCCTTTCCCAAAAGGAGGTCATGTTCACAGAAGTACCAGTTAAGGAGCTAAGACTGCAGAAAAGTTATGGGATGGGATCAAGTCCACTTGTGTGTCTTCTCATAGGCATCTTTACAGCTAGCAAGGATGTGAACTGTGAAAGCTTGCCAGCACACAGCACTCAGCAGGCATTCAACCGATGGTAGCTGAATCGAAATCTACAAGCCTCCTTTTGCCAGTAACTTGAGGATATATTCATGAGCATGAGATGCAGTGAGTACGTCAGAATACGTACCGGGCATCCCCAGACGATTCTCTGTATTTCTGACAGCTGATCTTTCATACCGATGTTTTGCTTCATCTAGTAAACAAAGGGATTTTAGGCAAACTGAAATTATGAAATTTTTATATGTAAAAATAGATTTAAATATTTTATGGCTCTTGTACACGGCTCAGGATTTTCATACACTTTAATAAGAATCTCAATTTTGTGTCCCCAGTGTTTGAAGACAAAGAGGCAAGTGACAAGACTGTGTTCACAATCTTCAGGGCAAAAGAGGTTATCGGTCTTCATTCAGCCCAGATGCCCATGTATTATGCAATCACAACAATATTTTCAGAATGATAGTACTATCTTCCAAGATGCTGAATTCTTTCAGAGAATAATTATGATTGCGATCTTTACTGAGGCAGGAAAGTTCATTAATAAGAAGTACCCTCAAAAACAAAGGATTTTACTTTTTTTTCTTTTCGTTGTCTAGAAAAATCAATCCAAATATTCAATTCTTCACACTTTCATATTAATAAAAGTTTTATTGCACTTCACCACGTATCTGAAAACATTCTGTCTCATGTTGTTTGGCTTTGAATAGACCCTCTTAGTGCTCAAAATCACTGAACCCAATCATTTCACATTAAGAGGAGGAAAGACTTTGAAGTATGCCATGAAAGGATAAGGTATTTCACGATCTTTGAGTCAGTACGACAAAGTATTGTACATTTGTAAAGGACACGAACGCTCATCAGCCCCCAACCTCATCTATGTAACTTTTGTATTTTTTGAGTTGGTCAATTGCAGTGGTCAGACTCCCACGGTCAGCGTGTCCTGCGGGAGTGTGAAGCCTCAGAGCATAGAGAAGATTCATATATTCTTCAAATCTTCACGATGGGTACAAAAGCAGCTCCGGGAGGCTGTATGAGGCAGAGAAAAGGGAACCCTGGTCGCTCTCTGAAGGCCAAAGTGTGCCATGTCCTTGGGGCGCCCCCACTGTGCACTCCCTCAGAACTTACCTCAGCATTTTGGTAACAATGGTCTTATCACGTCTCTTCAGGAAAGCTCGGAATGCTGGTGTCATTTCTCTGGACTAAAGGTGAGCATTATGTCAAAATTTTGCTCTGTATTACAGTTCTGCCAGAACAGAACTTCAGTTCTGCCAGACAAGCATGATCTATGAAGCACTCAAAGCAAAAGGGCAACAACTACCTCAAACCAAAGTACGACTAGTCCTATCGAGGCTTACTAATATACTAAGCACAGTGAATATTAATTATATCGTAAATTAACCCTATTCCGTAAACGTAATCAGTATAGACAAAATGGACTTTGCAACCAGCTAGGATTAACATTACAATTCTAATTGAATTCTATCTAATTCTATGAGGCCCTGTCAAGTTATTTAACTTCTCCAAGCCTGAGCTTTCGCATGGATTACCCTACCTAACTCTTGTGGGTGAGGGGAACAATCCTATCCATAAGGATCCTGCCCGTCAGGCAGTAAATGCTATCTCCACAGTAAGAAACTATTAATAGTATTCACTGTAATACTGCAGTTAACTATGTTTTCCATAGTAACATCATAAAGGGGCTCCACCCTGCTAAATATCTGTTTTAAAGTGTATCCTTTCATCACCGTTAGAGCACTCAGGAAGTGACCTCATTTGTCTTAGTACATAAGTGCCTCAGAGATGCCAGGAATGCATCAAATAGTCACGGGGTGTAATATTAACAGCTCACGCTTACTATTTATCTGCACACCCCATGCTAGTGAAATAGATACCACTATTATCCCTAACTATAACAATTTTAGTATCAATTTATAATATTATGTGACACTTTGCTTCCATTCTTGTCCTAAAGTTTGGTTCTCTGCAATGGCCTTATTCACTCAACTTTCACATAATCATTGTCCAGCAGTATTTAAACTCCCTTTGTGGGGTAAGAATGATACTACAAAGGGAGACATCTGAGGTCAGGACTTGTCCAGAGGCCTCCAAGCATCCAGGCCTGCCCCTGAGGGCCTCAGTATGGACAGGTGGACACAGTCCAAGTGAATATAGTGGACACTAGCAGAAGTGCAAGGGACACTCTTCTGCTCCACTTTTGACGCACATTGAAGAGGGAAGAAAGAGAGAGAGCTCACTGCCTTCAGAGGAGAGCCCAGAAAAAGCGGTGAGTGGCACAGGGGGGAGCTGAAGATTCCTGCCCAGACTACATACAGCTTAAGTCATGAAGGGAAAAATTGTTTATCATGAACTCTCCAAGCAATGGAAGACAAAGAAATCCTTATTTCCATAGTGAGATTTCAAAAACGGAGCGTCCTTATTCTAAGAAGCATATGGATTATTAATTCCTTTTCTCCATAAGAGCCTTGAACTCGTCAAAGCCGCAGAGCACTGTCTTGGCAGAGTAGAATCAAGGCTCTTGCTCCTGATTCGACCCATTGTGAAACATTTCTCTGTAACTGAACCACAGAGTATTGGGGCAGGTAGATGAAAGCCTGACAGTTTGTATGATTAGTTCAGTCCAACAACAAGTTCCTGGGTCCCACCGTAACAAGTGTGTTAACCCTCAACTGTGTTAACCCGTAGTGATACAAAATTAAGTAAGTCAGGGGCCCCGTCCTCAAAGAGCTCATGGTCACCTGGAAGCTAAGAGTGGGGAAGAAGTCTTTCCTGTTAATCCTAGTCCTTTGGATTGCACACAAAAGTTCCTTTCAAGCTCAGAAAGTCTCATTCATGCCTGGATGGTAACTCAATCATTACCTTCTCTATAGTTCTCAGAACAACCGGGTAATTGTTGAAGAAATTGGTATATGTGTTCAGCTGGCTTCCAAACTTGAGGAATATTTCTCCCACGCAGTGGGCTGGGCCCCATTCCTGCAGTCTGTCTCTCAGATTGTCTAGAAACTGCCTGCCATATGAGAAAAGCATGACGTGAAATACTGGCCTGGGATAACCTAGAAACTTAAAAAATAAAAATAAATTAGTTGTTATTTGTGCGGCCTGGCCAGGCTTTTGTCCAGTCTGTCTGCCTGACACAGAGCAGGGCAGGTGTGCCCAGAAGGGAGGAGGGGCGGGGGGCAGGGGTGTGAGGGAGGAGGTTGACTCTGGTAGAGTCTTGCCTCTTCCTCTTAATTCCCTGAGTCGGAGCCCCAGGCTGGCCTCCACAGGACTGACCCTTGACTGTCCCACTCCCACGTGGCCAGCCAGGCAGACGGGGAAGGTTTCTTACAGTCCTCAGAGGAGAGGGCTCAGCTCACTTCAAATGCTGTAACTCCTGATCGGCCCACTGCTGTGGACCTGGTGTCACCCGCCATTCAGCTGTCATAGGCCTTGAAAGAGGGACAAGGCCTAGTCTGCCCTCTTCCTTCTGCAGCAGCTGGGGCCCAGGGAGGGTGACAGCATCCGAGTTACCCAGAGAGTTACTGGAAGAGTGGCCCGGTGTATCTGCCCACACCCATGATCACTTTTCTGTGTGATCATTCTTGAAACAATATACTGTCATTCAGCTGACCCCCGGCCTTGGTTCTCTCAGCCCAGTATCCCATGAAACCCCTTGTTTTCTTTCCCTTTGCTCAACCGGACACTGCAGACTAAGAACGGTGCCAGACCGTTCTCCTTGCTCCTGCCTCGGGGTGAACAGTGTATGGAATAGAGAACCCCCAGGCCCTGAGCTCCCCTCCGGGAACCATGGTGTGGAAATGAGGCAGGGGTCGCCCCGGGGCCTCCTCACTATCGGTCGCAGCCCTGTGGCGAGAGCCCTCTCTTCTGAGACGATTAGGGGCTCCATGAAGGGGCCCCTGAGTACAGCTTTTGAAACAACTAAGTGTGGGTTCTTCCAACGGCATCATGCGTATTTGAAAAAGTGCCTCTTCAGGGTTTACCTATTGAGACTTAAAATCTGCAAAATATCTGAGAAAATGATGTGGATGTTTGCAGCACTGAGAATCGCTCTGTTTGATGACAAGGCTGCTTTCAGAGGCGATACATAGACATTTCTCACAATTTCCAACATCTGCACGTATTTTCTCTCGCTCTGTAAAAGTTCCCCAGCAACTCTCGATCGCTTCTCAGCTGAGTCCATCTGGAGCTTTCTCTCCTGTAGAAAGGCATGAGGAACTCAGAGGTTACCGGGTTACAGCCTCAAAGACCCTGAAAAGTCCAAGGTGGTAGAGAAATGACGGTCTGAAGAGTCAGGCAGTGACTCACTCTATGAAATACTATAAACACACTGTTCTTGGTTAAGTTTTATCTAAGGAGTTAAAAAAAATTGTATCCCATCTGGCAGCTGACTTGGAACCCATGTTACATTTTTATGAGTACAATTTTTTTTTTAAATATTGGCGTTCTCCAATATTTATAATCATTTCGAATAAAGGTTTCCGTTTGGAACCTTTCGTTGTTGTCTTAAAACAAACGTCAGGTGTTTATGACCAATAGTGAGATGAGAGGCTGTCATACTCATGGCACGACCTGAGCCCCCTCAGCCTTGGTGATTCCTGGGGGTGGATCTGAGGATGTGCGAGAGCCCATGCCGTGAGGTCCACACCTGCGCCGTGAGCAGCAGGTGGATTTGCTCAGTGTTGGGAGGATGGTGGGGAAGGAGCCCGGGATTGAGCTTTGGGGCCTGAGGGATTCATGTGTCTCTGTCCCCTGGCTGTCGGCCCTTAGGGAAGTCCGTTAAGTGTTGTAACTTGAGTTCCTCATTTACAAAATGGGGTTGTTAATGTCTACCTTAAACGTTTCCGAGAAGGAAAATACCACGATGAATTCTTTGACGAGGGGAGGGGTGAAAAGCATTTGTGTCGCCTGAGGACAGGACAGGCCCCAGCCTCTGCTTGCCTTCAGCCTCGTCCCTGCTCTACCTTTTGCAAACAGAAAGACAGGGCCCTGAAATTTATATGGGTTATACCCAGACTTTGAAGTCAGACCACCTGTCAGTGGGGTAGTTAGAAACTGTGACCCAGGGGCACCTGGGTGGCTCAGTGGGTTAAAGCCTCTGCCTTCAGTTCAGGTCATGATCCCAGGGTCCTGGGATCGAGCCCCACATCGGGCTCTCTGCTCCGCAGGGAGCCTGTTTCCTCCCCTCTCTCTCTCTGCCTGCCTCTCTGCCTACTTGTGATCTCTCTCTGTCAAATAAATAAAATCTTTAAAAAAAAAAAAAAAAGAAAGAAACTGTGACCCATTGCTTTAAATTCTGTCTTCGCGTCCTATTAGAAGATCCAAGTAGCACCAAGATGGCTCTTGCTCCCAAGATACACACTTGGTCCTCTTGGTTCGACTTCTTTTCAGAACAGGACTTACTCAAAAGAAAAATCTACCCTTGGATTCCCCCCTCAATTATATTTAGGATTGGGTTTTTTTTTTTTTTTAATTTCCCTAAGGGAAACTTTCAAGAAAAAAAAAGAATTAACCATAATAAAGACTGAAGCCTTTTTTTTTTTTTTTTTTTTTTTTTTTTTTGGTCAGGAGCAAAACAAATGGAAAATTCTCACTGTGTAAGGATGGGCTTACCAGTTTAATCAGCGTCTCCAAATTTGGATCATTTTTGCTGAGACTTGATTTTGTGTCCTGTAGTTTGTCTTCTAGAACATTTCTTTCCTGAAGATTCAATGCAAAGTTGATTATTTGGGGGCAGGCCTTGAGCTGTCTGAGCGCCCAGTGGGTGCTGTGCCCTTAGGAGGCTCCAGTAGCTGTCTGCACTCAACCACGCTGTACCCCGAATACAATGAATGAAGCACTTGACACATATGATGACTCTCTTATATTAAATCTTATGTTAAGAAAAAAAAAATAACCTTCAGCTTCCTAAGAACTACGTTATACTTGACAAACAAAATTCAGGGCAGCCCCCTTCCCGCCCCCGGGAGGCAGGGGACTGACGCTCAAGGAGTCCCACCCAATCCCGGCTTCTGCCTCATTCCGTCCCTTGTCACCTGAGGGCAAATGGCTTATCTTTTGAAATTGCCAGAAGAAAGCTCACAGCACTTTGTAAAATCCACCCCTTTTTTTATCTAATGAAAATGTGTCAGAAACAGTTCTCATGCTCTCTCTAGACCTGTTTCCACATTTAAATATAGCTTACTCTTTCTTCACTTTGTTAGCTGTTCTTGTGGCTTCCATATAAATTAGCACATTAGAAAAAATAGTCCTGGGGCGCCTGGGTGGCTACATGGGATAAGCCACTGACTCTTGGTTTTGGCTCAGGTCATGATCTCAGGGTTGTGAGATGGAGCCCTGTGTCAGGATCTGCACTGGGCAAGGAGCCTGCTTAAGATTTTCTCTCTCAAAGGGGAACCCTCCTACAATGGGAATGCAAGCTGGTGCAACCACTCTGGAAAACAGCATGGAGATTCCTCAAAATGTTGAAAATAGAACTACCCTATGACCCAGCAATTGCACTGCTGGGTATTTACCCTAAAGATACAAACGTAGTGATCCGAAGGGGCACGTGCACCCGAATGTTTATAGCAGCAATGTCTACAATAGCCAAACTATGGAAAGAACCTAGATGTCCACCAACAGACGAATGGATAAAGAAGATGTGGTATATATACACAATGGAATACTATGCAGCCATCAAAAGAAATGAAATCTTGCCATTTGCGACGACGTGGATGGAACTAGAGGGTATCATGCTTAGCGAAATAAGTCAATCGGAGAAAGGCAACTATCATATGATCTCCCTGATATGAGGGAGAGGAGATGCAACATGGGGGGTTAAGGGGGTAGGAGAAGAATAAATGAAACAAGATGGGATTGGGAGGGAGACAAACCATAAGTGACTCTTAATCACACAAAACAAACTGAGGGTTGATGGGGGGAGGGGGGTTGGTGGGGTGGGGTTATGGACATTGGGGAGGGTATGTGTTATGGTGAGTGCTGTGAAGTGTGTAAACCTGGCGATTCACAGACCTGTACCCCTGGGGAAAAAATATATGTTTATAAAAAATAAAATTAAAAAAAAAATAATATCTGCATCTTCAGTATCTAAGTGAAACTAATTCCAGGTGTATATTTTATCCTTGTTTTTCCTCTCAGATAATGCAGTTGAACTGGAACCTGAGCAAGCCTTCACTCTCTCTTCAGAGCTGCCGTTCTAATTTCCAAAGGAAACCACATTGATTCCGTCTCACTAAGAAGAATTGCTCTTGGTACTTGTTATTTCTCTAGATCAGCAACTATTCATCTTTAACTATTAAAAATGATGTTTTCAACAGGGTTTGTGTACATGATGGTTTGAAGCAAATATTTGTAAAAATAATCTCTTTCTAAGCACTTGATAGGACAGTGGGCAGTGGGAAATGACACATTTTGGGTAGTGACAGCATTCCTTTTGAGAGGGGATGGAAGACAGTCACGTGGTCAGCCCCCACATACACTTACTGTGCTGGTAAGAGCCGGTTGCAATTCCAGTAGGGGCAGTAAAGAACGTGCCAGTTAGTTGAGACAGCTGGGAAAGAACTTCCAGTCCTGCCTCTGCAGAGTCAAAAACACTTTCATTAGTTTACTCACAGGTTTTCCCTTGGAACCATTAAGTATTACTTAGGAACGCTAAGCTGGCCAAGCAAGACTGCTAGGATTTCTCATCTTCAATTCAAATCCCTATGGAACAGTCCGTAAGCACTTTATAGCCCACCACTAAGTGCTGAAGTCCAGACGCTTAATTAACGAGGACTAAACAACAGAGTGGAGAGACCATGCAGGAAGACTGACCTGGTGCATATTTTCAAAGTCGGAATACTCAGGACAGAGACAGAGAAAAGTCTACGTATATTTTCTAAAATAGTCTGACTCGAAGGAGATGTCTCATAAGAGGACAAGTTTAAAACTGTTGGAACAGCTCAATATGATGGTCAAACTTGAGTGTGGCATTAATTTCACCCCACCTTCAGCGACCCGGCATAAAGATTGGATTCATCATATAGACGGAATCACTTTGATCGAAATTAATACACTGGTTTATATTTTTTAATTCTTTGTGGTCTAAGAATAAACAATTACTCCAAATTGGTTGGAACAAGAAGGCAGTGGCTGAAAGGTTGGGATGTCTCTCATGTATTGGGGTCTAATCTTTTAATTGGAATGGATCAAAGAAATCAAATAGAGTCCCTAGGTATACCTACATCTGTGTAGTCAGTTGGTTTCAACAAAGATGCAAATCAAATGCACGAGAAAAGGATAGTCTTTACAAGGAATGGTGCTAGAAAAGTTAGATATCCTTAAGTTAAAAAAAAAAAACATGAAACTTCAACCCATACTTCTAAAACTCTATGAACAAACAAATAAGTCAACAGCTCAGAAATCTAAGTCAAAACTATAAATAGTTTAGAAGAAATTCTTTATTTCTAAAATAAAGAAAATCTTGTGAGCTTCAGTCAGATAGTGTCCAGATACAACATTAAAACTATAACCTAAAAAAAAATAAATTTGACTTCACAAAAATTAAGAACTTCATCTCTTCAAAAGGGACCGTTCGGAGAAGAAAAACATAAGTCACAGAGTGAGAGAAAATATTTGTAAATGCCTTTTCTAGAATACATAAAGAGTTCTTAGTAAGAAAACCTAATTTTTAAAATGAGCAGAAGATTCGGACAGACAACGCACAAACGAAAACCAATGAGTGGCAGGTAAGTGCATGAAAAGATGTTCAGCATCATCAGTCATGAAGCAAATGCAAATTCAAACCCCAATGAGATACTCCGGCACTCCCACGCGCACGGCTAACATTAACAAGACTACATACCCGTGTGGGATACTACGCAACTAGAGTTCTCATACATTGCTTGTGGAAATGTAAAATTATACAACTACTCCGGACAACAGTTCAGCCAGTGTTTAAAAAGTTAACACCGATCATATTGACCCAGCCATTCCACTCCTAGGTATTTATCCAAGAGAAATAAAAGCATATGTTCACACATAGTTTCATAGCTACTTTCTGTGTTAGGACCCGGGAACTGGAAAGAACTCAAATATCTATCAACAAGTGACTGAATAAACAAATTGTGGTATATATGTACAATGCAATAATTCCCAGCAATAAAAAAAAAAAACAAGGAGCCATTGATACAAGCATCAAACAGAGGAATCTAAAATAATTCTTCTGAGTGAAAGAAGCCTGACAAAAAAGAATGCACAGTGTATGGTCCCATTTATGGAAAATTCTATAAAATACAAACATGCATCGTGAAAGAGAGGAGATCTTTCACAACGTGGTTAATTCAGGATGGGGATAGGGAGAAGCAGGAGGGAAAAACTGCAGACTGGCATGAGGAAAATTTGGGGAGTGGTGACTATGTTCCTTATCTTGATTATTTTATGGTTTCACATAAAATATTTTCACATGTCAAAATTTATCTAAATGCTCACTTTAAATATGTACAATTTATCTGACATTATTTAGACGTTGATAAAGCTGCTTGAAATTTTTTAAAATTTTATTTATTTTATTATTTATTTTAGAGAGAGACTGTGAGTGATCAGGGGGAGGGGCAGAGGGAGAGGGGGAGAGAGAGAATCTGGAGTAGAGCCTCGCTAAGCAGCAGCAGCACCTGGGAACTTGTCAGAAATGAAAATTCTCAGCCCCCATGCCAGGCGTGGTGAGTGAGAAGTGCTAGGGTGAGATCCAGTGGTGTGTACTTTAATAAGCCTTCTAGGTGACTCAGATAGATATTACCACTTGAGAACCAGGGTTATAGTCACTATGGAGGTGTATCTAGGTTGAGTGTATACAGGTGAGGGAAAGTTTATGGTCTCGCTTTCTCTCTTTTTAGCACAGGAGTTGGCACTAGAGGTGTTCCTGGTTTGATAGGAATGACCGAAGAAAGAGGGAGGGTTGAGGCTGTCAGAGAGAACTGAGTGTGGGAATGTGGTCGTGAGGAGGTGAAAGGGGGTGGGATACAGAGCGCGAGTGGGTGCAGATTTGAGCAGGGCTGCTTCTTCCATCGGGACAGAAGGGAAGAGAGAGAATGAAGGTAAGAGGTGGGGTACGTGGTGGGTTTGGTGGTGGGAGGGAAATTCGGGCGTTTTCTCAGGGCAGTAAAAGGTGAGGTCAACAGCTGAGAGAGGTTCTTGAGAGATGGATGAAGGAGGGGAGGGGATGATGTAGTCCTCTCAGAGAGTGGGAAAGAAATTTACCAAGGAAGGTGGGGGGATTAGTTGTCAGTGCCGCAATCGCATTTGATATTTATGGCAGTGAGGTCAAGTTAGATGAATAAGAAAAGCCACAGCACTGTTTTCAACCCAGCTGCTTCGTGCAGGCAGCAGAGAGCATGCAGACGGTGGTGTTTAAGGAGCACTGGAGTTCAGCCGGAGAAAGGGAGACAAAGAAGTTCAGATTCTTTGCAACAGAGTAATGATAATGACAACCATTGAATCCACGTTTAACGAAGGAGCAGAGGATGGAGACGTGGGGACAAGAGAGTGGAAACGTGCGAGTGTGTGCATTGGAGGTCTTGACGCAAAGAGCTGACACAGTAGGAGTATTTGGAACATGGATGTTTGGAATATTTGGTGCATGTTTTGGAGGTGGTACTCAGAGAAAAATGTTGGAGATCAAGCTCTCGGAGGCCTTACAGCTACTGGGATGATAAGCTCCTGAGTGATGCCTGAGGTGGCAGAAAAGAGATTTTTGGACTGAGAAGCTGAGTTCTTTCATCAGGGTCTTGATGGCTTGTCCAGGTGGAAATTGTGTTTGATGAGTTCAGGGGATGATTTGGGGGCCAAAATGGTGGTGAGAAATTTGCTGTTCAGTGCCATCAACTTTCACTTGAGATGATTTTTAAGTCACTAAATCTATTGTTCTTCCCCCCTTTTGCCCTATTCCTGATCCCTTTCAATGCCTTATTTTCCCAAATCCTTTCTTTTTCTTCTACTCCAGTTAAAAAATTTCCTTTGCAGGGCGCCTGGCTGGCTCAGTTGGTGGAGCGTGTGACTCTTGATCTATGGTTCTAAGTTTGAGACCCTCGTTGGCTGTAGAGATTACTTAAAAAAATAAAATCTTAAAAAAAAATTGCTTTGCTTTCCTTACAAAAGTAATACTAGTTCATTACAGAAAATAGGGACAAATAGGAGATAAAAGGAAAGGAAAAATAATAAAATGAAAGAAAAGCCCCTTATCCAACTGTTGTTAATACATTTCGTCTATATCCTTCCAAACCCTTATCTATATCCTGCTGCCCTCCCCCACGCACACACAGGTGTTAAACAAAGGAATCCCACCCTCCATATTCTGATTTCAAAAGTAGGAAACCTGAAAAACACATCTGGAGATAGATGCTGTTACTAATTGTGTTATATTTCCTCCTAGATTTTTCTATGCATATTGTCTTTAGTTAAGACTACATTAATTGTCATAACTGTGTAAAAAAATTTTTATGATTTTATAATTTGTTTTCTTTTAAACCCCTTCCCATCCTTTTGTTTTTCCCTTTCCCCTGGTCAAAGCCTGCCAGAGGCATACTTGGCATGTATGAACAGTACAGGGAAATGCGAGGATTAGAGCGAACTTTAAAACTCACAGTTCCCTAAGGAATGGGAATAAGAAACTGTTTGAGAAAATTTAATTTTATACTCCCTCTGCCTTGCTCTGCTTGGCATTTAAAAAAAAAAAAAAAAAGCCCATGAATGCAGAGCTTTTATTGAACAGATGTCTAAAAAGCAAATTTGTCTTAATGTTTCTAGAGTTTCTCTTCAAGTACTGAAATCAACTTTGAGTTCTAGGGACTGATATTAGACAGATGGGCATTTAAAATGATTTCAGACCTTTGGGATCAGCAACCAGTCTCCTCTTTACCAAGCACTTGGCTGTTTTTAATATTCAAATATTATTTAAGTCTTTATTTTTATTGTATTTTTTAAGTGTATTTATTATAACTATTTACATTATTTTGATACAAGTCTTGAGGGTAAGGTGCTATTATACTAACTTTCATATGAGGAAACAGGCCCATAAACTTGCCTAAGGCCACACAGCTCAAGTGGCATGAGTGGGATTCAAGCCCAAGGTCCTTGGTCACCAAGTTCATGCTCACTCCTTCTAGGTTCAGAACACAGCAGGGAGGCTTTTCTCAGATAAATTGATTATGGGTTCAGACATTTTCCCCTGTGTAGCGGAGGCTGGTTTTATTATATTTTTCAGAAGAGCTACAGATAATATCCCTGGCTGGCTCATGTCACTAGTAACCTTATTCTGCAGGGACAGTTTCCTCAGACCACTAACCCCAGCTCTTTCCCCCTTAAATACCTGAGGGTATGATGTGTAAGAGAAAAAGTAAAAAGGAGTAAAATGTGACTGAATCATTTGAACTGAAGGCATTTCAAAAATTCCCAAAATATCACTGGGGTAGGCATGACCACTGCCTTTGAAAACTGACCTGATGCTCCAAGAGGTACAAAGAGGTCCACATGACCCCCTTCTTCTTCAGGGGCCACATAGCTTCCTAGTTTCTCCCAGAAGTCTCTCACTTCAGGTCTCAATAAGTTTCCAATACCAATTTTATAACCTGAGGAAAAACTCAAAATGTCATATTAGTTTGTAACTTTATCATGAGCAGAAACTCTTAAGACTCTGGGAAAATGCAATCCTAATTCAAAAAGCTAGAGTCTGGGGGTGCCTGGGTGGCTCAGTGGGTTAAAGCCTCTGCCTTCAGCTCAGGTCATGATCCCAGGATCCTGGGATCGAGCCCCGCATGAGGCTCTCTGCTCAGCGGGAAGCCTGCTTCCTCCTCTCTCTCTGCCTGCCTCTCTGCCTACTTGGGATCTCTGTCTGTCAAATAAATAAATAAAATCTTAAAAAAAAAAAAAAAAAAAGCTAGAGTCTGCTCGTAAGAGCCTGATCTGGAGCTTGCCCATGCTCTCATGCTGCACCATATTAGGGCCACAAAAGGACTCCTGCACGGCCCACACTCTCCTTCACGTTGTGGATTTACTGGACGCTGTGCACTTAGTTTTAGGACCTTGTCTCTCGGCCTTCACTGAGCAGCAGTGTGCATTAGCAGGCTACCGGCGGCATCAGGGAAGGTGGCCAGTCACGTCCTGCCATGTTTGCCACCAAGTTGCAAAGTGAAGATGTCAGCCAAAAAAATAAGTCATTCAGAACAGAAGACTCCCAGAAGGTGGTAAACATCACTGAAACTCTTACTTCCTGGGACTTCTGTATGATGATTCAGTGAATCTCTATGTGTCTAGGCCCATTTCTAAAGGTGTCCCGGAGACTCTGAATTCTTAAATCCCAGGAACGAAGTGAAAACAAAGTCAGGCAAGAATCCCAACACTTCACTTCTTTCCATTGAGACATCTAGGTACAGAATGAAAGGACCTCTTCAGATGCCTGGAGTAAGAGATTTCATTTTGTTGTTGGTTTTAAGACAAAAGCTCCTGGGGAAACACCACGATTATTAAAAGGGAAACTTTAGTTTTCAGTTATTTTGTTATGTTACTCTTGATTTAAAAAAAAAAAAAAAACAACAGTGTGGGACGCCTGGGTGGCTCGGTCAATTAAGCATTCGACTCTTGAATTCCATTCAGGTCATGATCTCAGAGTGTGAGACTCAGCCCTGCATCCGCTCTGTGATGGGCGTGTAGCCTACTTAAGATTCTCTCTCTCTCCCGTTACTATCTCTCTCTATATATATATATCTCTCTCTCTCCCCCAATCCCCCTTAATAAATAAATAAATAAATAAATAAATAAGAAAACAAAAGGCAAAGTTTGGAAATCTTTCTCATGTGCAGAACAAAAAGTCTGAGATGTTAGAAAACCCTAACGGGTCCTTCTACTCCATGAGAGGTAAACCTACTACACTACAGTATAAATTTGTAATCAATACCTCTCCTCTCCGTCATTTAGAGAAAAGCTACCATGTAATTAATCATAAATATATACCCCACACAACAACTAGTGCTGTGCTTTACTTTTGGGCAAATATATAAAATTTGATGTGGAATACAACTTGTTTCAGGCATAGGTAAACTAAACAAGAAAAGACAAAATAAGGTAACAATAAATCAAAAGTAGTTTGTTAATAAAGTTTACTAAAACTATTCCAAGCATGCTGAATTCTAGCGGTAAGCAAGTCTTCTTGCTCAGCTATAGGCCCCAAGAGTTAAAACCAGAAATAGACAAGACTGCTGAACTCATGCTTCAACGAAAACCCATTACGCATATTTCTTTTTTGCACTTTCTCAAGGAATTGATGAGATGTTTTGCAATGACTGGAGCATTCCATTCAGAAGGAAAAGCCCTGATAGCAATGGAATGCCTAGAAGACCACATACCCCCAGGTCCCTTTCCCTGCCTGTGATCGTGGGCTGAATAAATCCCTACCCCCACTCAGGATCACATGCTGCCTGCCTGCTCCCTGGCACGTACCCCGCTGAACTTGTCTCCATAAAACTCCAGTGTCTATCTTGTAGGTGGAGAGGTCAATTGTTAAGGGTTGAGCCTGCCACTTCCCCTGGCTACTGGCACCCAAAATAAGTTTTTTTCCAAACCCTTGTCTCTTGCACTCAAGAGACAACGCACTTTGCTTGCCAGGAATTTATCTGAGTTTGTTCGGCAACAGTGTTGACAAACCCAGCCAGGAGCTAAGCTTTCGAATCGTACAGCCCTCTTGGGATTCCCCCAGATGGAGCAGTTGGCCCCGGCAGAGCACCAGGCTTTCCTGCTCGTTTCCCGAGTTAGCAGCTGGGACAGATCACTGGATAAAGTAGCCACAGAGACAGTATTTGATGGGTGATTCAGGTACCCACTGTGCCATTTTAGGGGGTCCCTGCCAGCTGGATCCTTGACCATCTTATTCCCTTTCTCCCCTCCTCTCACAAAGATGGAAGATTTCATGCTAGTAAACCTTAAAACCTTTCTATCTTAGGTATAACAAGGAAAGATGTAAGTTATAGTATAAAGAAGAGTAGAAGCTGAAAATTTAATTCTAAAACAGTCATCATCTCCTTCCCTATGAGAAGGATAACCATTGGCATTTTTAAAAGATGATCCTTAAAGAGTTAATGGTATCAGCCAATCCTTTTCTTTGTGGAATAAGCCATTTGGAAGTATAATAAATGCTGTTCGTGTACACCAACTTATAGATCATGGGTTTTGCTGCTATTAAAATTGCTACACTTTCATCAAACTTGAAGCTTTTGTGCATCAAAGAACACAATAAATAGAGTAAAAGGCAGCATACAGAACCGGACAAAATATTTGCAAACATCTGATAGGATTAATTTCTAAACTGTATAAAGTATGTCTAAACTCAATGGAGAATATCAAATAAACCCAACAGAAAATGGGCAAAGGACTTCAATAGATGTAGATAAAGAAGATATACAAATAGCCAATATGCATACAAAAAATGCTCAACATCACTAATCAGTAGACAAATGCAAATCAAAGCCATAATGAATATCACCTTAAACCCATCAAGATAGTTACCGTCAACTAAAAACAAAGAAAAACACAGAATATAACAAATGTTGGTGAGGATGTGAAGAAATTGGAGCCCTTGTGCACTGTTGGTGAGAGTGGAAAATGGTATAGCCACATGGAAAATAGTATGGAGGTTCCTCAAAAAATTAAAAATAAAATTACCATGTAATTCTGCAATCCCATGTATGGATATATATCCAAAGCAATTTAAAGTAGAATCTCAAAGAACTGTCTGCACACTCAGTGTTCATAATAGTGCTATTTCTGATAGCCAAGAGGTGGAAGCAAGCTATGAAATTTGCCATCAGCAAATGAAAGGATAAACAAAATGTGGTCTATACATACAATGGAATATTATTCATCCTTAAAAAGTGAAGGAAATCCTATCTTAAGCTACAACGTGGATGAAACTTGATGACATTATGTTAAGTAAAATAAGCCAGTCACAAAGTGAAATACTGTATGTTTCACTTATGTAAGGTACGTAAAGTTGTCAAATTCATAGGAACAGAAAGTAGAATGGTAGTTCTTAGGAGTGGGAATAAGCGGGAAAAAGGAAGTTCTTATTTAATGGTGTGATGCTTAATTTTACATATCAACTTGACTGGGCCATGGGGGTGCTCAGATATTTGGACAAACAGAATTTTGGATGTGTCTGTGAGTGTGTTTGGGAATAAGGTTAATGTTTGACTAGACAGACTGAGTAAAGCAGATTACTCTTCCCAGTATGGGTGGGTCTCACCCAATCCATTGAAGGCCTGAATAGAAGAAAAGGGTCGACCCTCCCTTGAATAAGAGGGAACTCCTCCTGTATGACTGCTTTGAGCTGGGATATCAACTCTGTTAGCAAACTTAAATACTGTTCTGAAGGTCATACATGTAGACAAACACCACATTCGTGCAAAGTTGGTTGTTGCTTTCAATCTCCAGGCTTACCTTGGAGGAAATTGATTTCTCTGCTGTCTCCATCACTAAATATCCCCATACTCTGTACCTTCTGCCCATCCAGAGCTTTTTCTATGAGATAAAGCAGACTCTCCAAGGTTAAGCCGCTGTGTTCGTACACCACAAAAATGATACCTGCCTTAATGCTCTCCACCACCATCTAGAAAATGAAACCAAAGCCCATTATTTTAGAATATTTATTCACAAAATAAATAAAATGGGTATGTAATCTGCTGTGACTTTTAAACACTTTTTTTCCAGAAATTATAGAAAAAGGAAGATAAACTTTATCATTTGTTGGTTTCTTTTTCAATGATTTTAATTCTTTTTTAATTATGAGAAGAAAATTAAGTACACTTGTAACTCCAGCACTCAGAGATAAATATTATAACAAGTTAAATTATTTTCTTCTAGCCTTTTTATCATTGTACATACCCATGAAGAGACATAGATGCATCTCTTAAAAAAATACTCAAATTGAGATAATATGATTTTGCAATGGACTTTTAAAACAGATTTAAAGTTTTCCTCTTAATCATGAATTTCTGAATTATCAATATTGATTGATTAAATATTTTCCATTTAAATAAATACGAAAACCACTATGCTTTGAACTCAGCAACCAAATAAACTTTTCATTATGGTAACGTTAATTCACTAGCAGAGACAGTTTGGAAAGTCATTAAAGTCAATGATTTTTTTTTTCTCCCAAACCTCATGCAACTTCTGAAGGTCACAGTTCAAACTGAGCAGAGGACTACCACCTGGTTATGTCCTGTTTTTTGCCTAAGAACCCAACACATTCATAATAAAAAGTAATCACGGCATAGACTTATGTAAAGAAGACAAATAGGAGAATGAACTTACTTTGAACTATACTTTTCACCCATACTCTGTCACTGGTTATCCTTTGTGCCCAGCCTGATGCCCATTATTACACATTAGGAAACTATTTGGGGCCCATATGGAGGTCAAAACTCTGATCTTGCTTTCATATGGATCCCTGGAGCTGGCTGGTTATAAATGATCTGAGTCAATTTCTAGATGCCCAGAAAGAATACTGATTTCGTATCTTGAAAGCAACCATTTTGTTACAAGGAGGAAATTTTTTAAAAACTTTCTAAGTAGGCCAATGAATGGAACCTACGGAATGTCATCCCTTACATATGTCCCTCTTTGTGCGTCATATATACACATGTATATGTGCATGTCATAGACACACATGTGTGTCATATATCCATGGTGTCATATATGCATATACACATACTCACGTACCTATAAAAATACATGCTTCTACGTCTTCATTGTGCTTCCTTCATTTTTATTACTTATATTCAAATTAAAATATATAACTTTATTATAAAAAGAACATAATTTAATGGCACCTCCCTGAATAGACCACAAAATAGAATTTCTGACATTTTTCTTGTGAGAAATGATGGTTATACGATAGTATTTAGTTCCTTGGGCATTGCAAAGAGGTTTTAAAATAATCCTTAATCACCTTGCTCTTTTTTGGGATAAGTGCAACAAATTCAGTTCAATAAGAATTCACCAGATACTTAACTAAATGCAAGGTAGTTTTGGCCTCTAATGCTTTTTTAAAAGTAATTTTGATTTATGGTTATCTTTACTGCTTCTGATTTTTAAAAGTGCTCTGGGTCTGTAAATTTCCACTTAGACCATGTTCCTTTTAGAAGAGGAATCATTTTCATACATATGGAGGCCAAAAGATTGTTACACATCCTCCCATCTAGATGAAAAACAAAACAAAATAAAACACCCAACTCAGAAAAGGGCAGGCCTCCTAACAAACTCTTACCTCAAATGCAGGAATCCGAGATGATATTAGTAAGAAGTGGGGCTGGGACACATATGAAGAGCTGTCATCATTTTTCTGAACTCCACGCCAAGTCTTCTTCAATAATGAAGGGTAGGAATGGCTTCCAGAAACATTGCTTCTGTAGGGAAAAGAAGGGAATAAGTGAAGCGTAAATTACCTATTAACTGGATTTTGATAACTGAGCACCAAAGTGTTGTCTGGGCATCAGTTATACTGAACAAGGCACGTGGCCTTTCGGAACTCAGTCGCTCCCTGCAGTTTTGGGGGACAACAGCAAATGGGGCTCCGGGGTGGGGTGGGGCCAGAGCTGGCTTCTGGGCTTCTCTTCCTCCATTCATGGGATACTGGAAAGGTCTCCTGGAACTTATTTAGCTTTGTTGGGCACTTAAAATGAATGTAGTGACATACTGAGGGGTTCAAAATGACATTTTAAAAGAACAGCTGAGAGATTTAAAAATTTCCTAGATCATCTGGTTCTCCCAGCTTTCTAAATAATGTCTCCATTCTCTTACCCTTACTCCCACATTCCCATTTGGATACACTTACTCCAGGAAAATCAATTCTGAAAACAAAAATGTTACTTTTGCTCAATAAATTGCACAGAAAATGTACTACATCACAGCCTCTTTGCAGGGCCAAGAATATTTGAAATATAAAATTTGAATGTTACAGATTTCCCTCAGAAAACATGTCAAAGACCACTGCTTTTAAAGATTAAAGAGTTATTTCTATTGCTATCTCATAGGATATGAGCCAGATAATTATACAAGCTCCCTGCGAGTTAGCTAAATTATTCTAGAATGAATTCTTGGTATCATGGGATGGTCTTGAGCCTTCAGGAGATGGAGGTTGCTTACCGCTTGGGCAAAGCTTGTAAGGATGCCAAAATTAGCTGTTTCTCCAAAGCTTCATGTAATCCCACTCGATCCCTCAGAGCCTGGGAGAGCCGTGGCTGGCATTTGGATTTTAACAATCTAGAGCAGCGTGTTCCGCTCACCCAAGGGGGTCGAACTTTGAATAACTCCTCTGAAAAACAAACAGCAGCAGCCTCTGTAGTTTACTTCATGCTTCTCTCGGCCAAGTCTACATAGATAAAGGCATCAAAAATAAAGCCGTACCAGGGCACTATTCCAAATGGCAATAATTATAGCCCTTTTTACAGACTCTATTTGGATTTCTTATCCTCTCGGCTTCAAGTTGTGGCTCCAAGTTACCAGTCCTGTCAGGTCAAGAAACAAAGCTCAGAGAACGAACACCTCTTTTCTTGTGGAAAGCAGTTAATCGATTTACAGGTTTCACATCCATTTCTGCCCTTCGTCTTGGCTTCAAGTAATCTCCCGTTTGTTATGATCTCACAGAGGGTGAGTCAGTGAAAAGAAGATGGCAGGACTCCAGTCACTTTTGTTGTTCTGTTGTGCACTGTGCAAATCAGAAGGCTTCTCTGAGAGAGGCTCTTACTCTTCTTCCCTCCCTACTTTTCTTCTTTTAATGCCGTTCTTCCTGCTTCCATTCCCAGTTTCACCTCTCCCCTCTATTGCTAATCTCAATTCTTCTCTTCTGCACCTATTTCCTTGTTTTTGCCTACGTTCCTTGTTCCCTCTCCTTGTTGTTGTTTTCATCTCTGATTGTAACCAGAGGAATATGGAGGCACCGATATTGGACTTTCTGTATCTCATCTAAAATCTTTTTTCTTACTCATGAACTTGAAATATACGGGGAGGGGGTGGGGAGAGGAAGAGCTTGCTTTAGAGAACGCCACCTACACACTCTTCCAGAAAGACCTAGCTATCCTCCAGTGTGGGAATCTGTATGTAAATCCATTTGTTTCTACAATAGTTGGGTAAGATATCATTTTAAAATGCTACTTACTCTTATGTAGTGCAATTTTCTCCCAAATTATTTTTCTTAAGCACTTTTCTCTTTGTCTCTCCAGCAGCTCCTCATCTTCTGTTTTGGGCTCGTTCAGGGTCCCATAGACAGCAGAGGCTTCCCTAGGTGTTAGCCAATCTAAGCTCGACACAGATGCAATATAATGACGCTTCCAAGCACCGTACTCGTTATCCGTTGGCGTATAGGGCAGAAACCACCCAAACCTAATGCATTTGGGCATCCATAAGCAGTCCTACAAAAAAAGAAAGGAGAAATATAAATTGCAAGAAATTTTTAAGGACCGTTTCCTCGTAATAATGTTTCCGGCTATGCAGATAATTTTTCTTTACATTGGGATTTCTGGTGTGGCTGACTTGTCATCTAAATTGGACACAAACAAAAAAGAAGCATACCTCACTCCGTACAAGAATAGTCTTTGATCACAATATATGTTATATATGAATAAACGTATTAGTCATCTTTTGCACCTGGTCCCACAGCATTTGGTTAACCCTAATAGTAAAAAATAGTAGTAAAAAATCAGTTTGTTTCAGACCAGACCTCCCCCTGGGAACACCTTCAGTTGAACCATATGATATTGCCAATACACAACCAGCTTTTATAAGTGGAAACAGCAAATTTCATGTGGTTTAATTGAATTAAGCATCTAGACAAAATACCATAAAACAATTATTTGAAGGCCTGTAGAGCTACCAGTGCAATAAGGGCTCCTGCGAACATGACCCCAGAGAGAAGGGAAACCAAAGAGGTAAGCCTGATCCCTGGCATTTGACATTTCAAGGCATTTGACAGTTCCAAAGTAAAGCTCAGGCTGAGAAGAAGAGCAGAAAATTATGGCTGAAGGACATGGAACCTAAAAAGTATTCTCACAAGGAAGAAAGGAAACAAATTTAAATTCAGGGCCCACTAAGGGGAAAAGCCCTAGTAATCACACCAGGCTTTCAGTTGAGATGGTTATCAGCAAGGGTAAGGAATTACGCAACCTCTCACAAAGACTGAAACTAGTTTTAAAATATCTTCTTTTCTGACTGGATTTAAGTGATCTATTCCTAGCCTAACCAAATGCCAGAAGCAAAACCAAATTCTCTCAGGAGGAAGAGAACATCAAGCCGAGGCTCAAATTATTGTATCGATATTTTATATCTAATATCTAGTATCCAATACCAGCCACACAAAAGGATAACAATTGTTTGTTTCTCCTTTTGTCATTTATTATTTTTTATTAAATAGAGAGAGACCCTCAGGAGAACCATACGTTGTAATTGTTAGGCAGGAACTTAAAAAATAAACAGTCCTATAATTAATATGTCGAAGAAGTTAAATGGCTAGGTGAGAATTGTGGCAAAAATAATCAAATCAACATTGTAGAACTGAAAAATATAACTGAAATTTAAAACTCAATGGACCAGTTTAAAAGCAAATTAGAATCCAGCTAAAGAGATAATTTGTAAACGAAAAGCTAGAAGTAAAACCCAGGTAGAAACACTGAAGGCCAAAAAGATGGAAAAGACACAAAAAACAACATGAAACTTGTGGGAGATGGTAAATCAGTCTAACATGTAAGTATTGGAATCCCACAAGAAAAAGAACAAAAATAGGGCAGAAACAATATATATATATATATATATGGAGATGCTGTGTGAGAACTTATCAAAACTGATGGACATTAAATCTCAGATTCAAAAATCACCGAAAAACATAAAGTAGAAGAAACACACACACACACACACACTTCTGGGTACATCATAATAAAATTGTGGAAAACAAAAGATAAGACAGAGAAAAAAAAACCCTAAAAGCAGCTAGAGAAAATAAAAATATTGCTATTAAAGGAACAATAATAAGACTCCCTACTTCTCAAAAAAAAAAAAAAAAAGGTTTATGGAAGACAGAAAACAATAGAAAAATTTCAAAGTTCTACAAAATTAACTGCCAACCTAGCATTGAAATTCCCTGTGAAAATATCCTTCAAATACGAACGTAAAACAAGATATTTTCAGACAAAAATAAGAGAATTTGTCAGCAGCAAGTTGCACTAGAAGGAATATTCAAGAAAATTCAAACGGAAAATGATCCCAGATGGAAACTCAAGAGATGCAGGAAGATATATGACAACAGAAAAAGTAAATATGTGGTTACTTATAAGTAAATATTGACTATATCAAATAATAGTCGTGATGTGTGTGTATAAATAAATATACATATATATAAATTTAAATGTATGTATTTTATGTGTGTATAAAATTAAAATATTTGACAACAGTATTGAAACTGGGTGGGAAGGGGACTGAAGGGGAATAGAGAGAGTTAAAGGGTCCTAAGCTCTTTGCATTATCTCAGAAGTGGTTAAAAAAAAAAAAGGCCCTAGGGACGCCTGGGTGGCTCAGTTGGTTAAGCGGCTGCCTTCGGCTCAGGTCATGATCCCAGCGTCCTGGGATCGAGTCCCACATCGGGCTCCTTGCTCGGCAGGGAGCCTGCTTCTCCCTCTGCCTCTGTCTGCCTGTGCTCGCTCACTCTCTCTCCCTCTGTCTCTGACAAATAAATAAATAAAATATTAAAAAAAAAAAAAAAAAGGCCCTAGGATGAGTGCCGTAATCCTAATATAGCCATGAGAGAACTGCTAAATAATTTATAATTAACAACTTAAAAAACATTTATGTACTCTAAAAGACAATTTTTAAAAAGCCAATAAAATAACTGGAACGAACAAAAAAAAATAACAGTAAAATGGCTGACTGAAGCTTAAATAGATCCGTATGTACACACACGTAAATACAAAATCACCCTAGCTAAAAGCCCAAGATTGCCAACTGTTAGATAACAAGCACCAACAGCTATATTCTGTTTACAAGACCTATTCCTTAAAGATAAGGACATAGGTTGAAAGGAAAAAACAGTGCAAACCCTTCGCCCAGGTTCTTAAATGCTGTAAATCTAGGGCTCACGGTTGGTTTGCGCGTGGCCTCTCCATAGAGAGCTAAGTACTGTCTGAGCTCAGAAGCTCAACGCAAGCCAACCCTGGGAAGTCTGCTCACGTTGAAGAGGTAAATTACTGACGTGTCCTCAAAGTATGTCTGCCATGACATTTTATTAAATCTTTAAGAAGAAAAAGAGACAAATAGGGCAGAGACAGAATTAATGGCAGAGGATGTTGAAAATCTCTTCAACAGATGTTAGCCAAAGAGCGATCAAAGGACACTGCGGTGCAATAACAATTTTCAGGGTAAGTTATCACAGGCAAAATAATATCATATAATAACCACAGCTTACCTAATATCTCATGAAAAAAGTGGACGTCTTTAGTCAAGATAAAACATTTTCTAGATAATTAAATTGAGTAATATGAGGTTATTAAAATTACAAGAATTATTAGAATAGTGTATATCCCCTTACTTACAAAATAAATTCTTGTATTTAACTTATCCCCATTTTTTTTCTCTGAAGGGTAAGTTAATTATGGTTCAAATACCCTCCGTTATTATCTACAGGGAAGGAAGGTAACTCAACTGCCGAATGACAGAATACAGTGGTATTTGGGCCCTATTACAGAGAAGTGACAAGTAGTAAACCTGTTCAGTTAAAAACTTCCAGGGCCAGCTGACTTGTGCAGCTGCACACAGATCTTTCGGATTCAGAAAGGAAAAGATATAGAGAGAAATGAAGCGCGGTAACACTGTAGAGAAATCCACTTTGGCCACTTGCGTCCTTTCTGAAAACCAGTCTTGGACAAACCTAAAAAGAAAGATAACAGAAATGTAGTTCAGAACACTAGTGTCTAAAACCGATCGAAAATCCAGTATAAATATTGGTCCTTATTCTTTCTAGAATCCTCTAAATATATATATAAAAAAATGAAATCCTAAGTAACATAGGGCTAGATTTTTAAAAATATTATATCGACTTTCACTGATCCATTCTAAAGAGGAAATGAATAATAAAAATAGCTGAAATCCACAGAGAAAAAATCTGAAATACATTTAAGCTGTAAATGTGGATTTTCTTTTTTTCTTTTAACTCCAAATTCAATAAATCAGCAAGTCCTGTCAGCACTACAAATACCTACCCCCAAACCCAGCCACCTCTCTCCATACCCATTGCTGTCAGTCTAGTGCAAAACACATCCCCCTCCATCCTGCACAACTGTAACAGCTGTACAGTCCCTCCTGATGGTCTCCCTGCTTCTCTTCTTCCCAGGGTCCATTCTCTACACAGTAGCTCAAGTGGTATTTTTAAAAATGTAAATTAGATAGCATCACTCATGCAAGTAAAACCCTGTGAATTCCTGGTGCAATTAGAATAAAAACCTATAGTGACTACATCACACTTAGTGGTGAAATATTAATTCCTTCCCCCTAACATCAGGAACAAAGCAAGAATGTTCATTCTCATCACTTCAATTTAACAGGTACAGGAGGTCTTAGCCATTTCAACAAAGCAGGAAAAAAAGTAAAAAATATACATATTGGAAAGGAAGCAGTAAAACTATCTCAATTCATGTATGCGGAATCTACAAAACCACCATTTAAATTGTTGAACTTATTAGTATAAAATTGTGAAGGTTTTCCTTTATCTTTATCATCTTTATGGTATCTAGAACAATATTTCCTTTTTCATTCCTGATATTGGCAATTTGTGTTTTCTCTTTTAGCTTGCTTATTCTTGCTAAGAGTTTATCAATTCTACTACTATTTAAAAGAAAAAAAAAACAGCTTTTGTTTTCATAGATGTTCTCTATTCATTTTCTATTTTACTGGTTTCCACTCATTATGTTTTTCCTTCTACTTAGTTTGGATGTGATTTATTTTTTTCTAGTTTTTTTTTTTAATCTAGTTATTTAAGGTGGAAATTTAGAAAGCCCCTTTTTCCTTTTCTAATATAAGAAATTAAATAATATACTTTCCTCTAAGCTGTGCTTTAGCTACATCCTACCCATTTAGATGTGTTGTATTTTCATTTTCAATCAATTTGAAATATTCAAATTTCCCTCATGATTTCTTCTTCAGCCACAGGTTACTTATAAATGAGTTAATTTCCAAATATTTGGGATTTTCTTGATATTTTATATATTTTTTGATATTTTATATTTTTTAACCTCAAATTTTATCAAATTATTGTTTAAAAATATACTTATTAGATTTTAATAGTTTTGAAATGTACTGAGTCTTATTTTTTGAACTAGGAAATTCTGTATCTTAGTGAAAGTTATTTTGATCATAAAAAACATATGTTTGGAAGTTGTTGGGTTTAGTTTTCTATAAATATTAGGTCAAGGTGGTTGAAAAGATTACTCAGTTCTATATTCTCCCTGATTATTTTTTGTTTAATTGTTCTATTATAATTCAGTCAGTTTTGTTTCATGTAATTTGAAACTCTATTATTTGGTCCATACATATTTATAATTGTTATGACTTCCTGGTGAATTGATCCTTTTCTTTTTATAAAATGTCCTTCTCTGTCTTTCTGTGAATATTCCTTGTCTTGAAGTCCATTTTGTCTGATATTAATATTACCATCCTACTTTTATATGCTCAGTATTTGTTAGCATATCTTCTCCTATCCTTTTACTTTCAACCAGTGGATGTCTCTATATTTACAGTGTATCCTTTGTGGTCAGTATACAGTTGGATCTTGCTTTTTGTTTTTTTGTTTTATTTATTTATTTTTTTAAAGCTCATTTGGCCATCACTGTCTTTTGTTTGAGGGTTTAGTCCACTTATATTGAATATAATTATTGATACAGTTGAATCCAGGTCTTGATTTTGTTCTTTGTTTTTATTTTCCATTTGTTTTATGGAAAATGTATTCCTCCTTTCCTGCCTTGGTTTGAGATAATGAATTTTTGTACTCCATTTAAATTCGTTTGTTGGCTTTTAAGCATTCATCTTGCATTATGCAAGTAAGTTGTTGCTAGGAAGTGCAGTATGCATCCTTAGCATTTCATAATCTATTTCAAATGAATATTCGTATAAACTTAAAGAACAGTGCAATGGTATAGTTCTTGCTATCCTTTATGCTTTTGTTATAATACTGCACCTACTTACGTTATAAGCCCTATAATAAACTGATTTTGCTTTACACAGTCATATATCTTTAAAATAACTTGAAAATTTTATGTTTTTCCACACATTACCATTTCCTTGTAAATCAAGTTTCCATCTGGTATCAATTTCCTTAGCCTGAAGAATTTCTTTTGGCATTTCTTCACTGCACATCTTCGGACAATAAATTTTATCAGTTTCCTTTTATCTGAAAATATCTTTATTTCACCTTAATATTTGTAGTACAATTATGAGATGCGTTAATCAATTTTAATAATTGTCATCTTGCAGCCAGTCTGGTTTCTGCTGTATCATCTTCTCCTCTTCTTCTCCCTCCTCCTCCTTCACTCCTATTTTATTTTAAAGCAAATCTAAGACATCGTATCACTGTATTCATTCCACCCACTTAGATGTGGTGTATTTTCATTATCATTCAATGTGAAGTATTCTAATTTCCCTTGTGATTTCTTCTTTGATATTTCAGTGTGCCTCAGTAAACAGCAAGAGCGTTTTTAAAAAAAATCATATGCTATAACCATCAACATGCTTAAACAAATTCAACAATAATTTCCTAATGTGATATCTACTTTAACTTTTTTAAAAGATTGATTGATTGATTGATTTCAAGAGAGGGAGGGAGAGAGCATGCGCACATAGGGAGAGGAGAAGAGGGAGAGGGGAAGCATGCTTCCTGCTGAGCCCAGAGCCTGACCTGGAGCCCCATCTCACCAACCTAAGATCATGACCTAAGCTGAAACCAAGAGTTGGTTGCTCAGCTGCTCAACTGACTGAGCCACTGCAGCCCTGCTGTGATATCTATTTTAAAAACTTCTTAAAAATATGGCATCCATTGAGAAAACTTCTTTTTTTTTTTTTAAGATTTTATTTATTTATTTGACAGACAGAGATCACAAGTAGGCAGAGAGAGAGGTAGAAGCAGGCTTCCCACCGAGCACAGAGCCCAATGTGGGGCTTGATCCCAGGACCCTGGGATCAGGACCTGAGCCAGGGCAGAGGCTTTAACCCACTGAGCCACCAGGTGCCCCGAGAAGACTTCTTTTTTAGATTTTATTTTATTTTATTTCAATCTATTTTATTATTATTAATATTATTATATATTATCATATATTACTATATAATATTAATATTTTATTATTATTTAATTTAATTTAATTTTAAGGATTTTATTTACTTATTTGAGAAAGAGCGAGCGTGAGCTGGGAGGAAGGGTAGAGGGAGAAGCAGGTTCCCCACTGAGCAAGGAGCCTGAGGCAGGACTCGATCCCAGCACCTTGGGATCATGACCTGAGCCGAAAACAGACACTTAACTGACTGAGCCACCCAGGAGCCCCCATTAAGAAAACTTCTTACATTACTCCGCGCATGCCACCTAACCACAAATGGATCTTGAATGTACGGAAAATCCAAGGCTCCAGCAAAATGATCGTCTTCAAGGCTATATAGGCCTTAGACCCAAGAGACATTTTACGGCCCACAGAGGAGGCTCTGCTGACCCTGTCGTCACCAACTACCAAAAAAGAGATAATACCTGATTGCCCTCTTTAGATACTGGCAATAAACATCGGTTATAGCCCCAAACCACCAAATAAGTCATCATATTTGAATAAGACTCACTGGAACAAAAAAGTTTGGAAGTAATCGCATGTTGGTAAGTCAGACTCTTCTCTGGAACCACTAATGTCCTCCAAACTCAGTAACATTATAGATGATTGTGGTCAATCTCACGGCTGATTGGAGATGTTGGCAATAAGGATTTAGCAGAACTCCTTTATCTCAAGCCATTGGTACTCCAGAATTATTTCTCATGGCTCAGTGGCCACTGCTGCCCTGGTACCAGGTTCTAATGGACACAGATAAACTCACTGAAAGAAAAGTCCTATCTCTGAATAGCTCTCATTCTGCAGTGTGTCTTCTCTGACTTTCTCTGACCTCTAAATGCATACACTAAATTCCCACAGGGTGGGTCAAGCCCAGAAAGTTCCAAAGTGAAATGAAAATGATACCTCCAATTAGGAACAAAAAGAGCTTAGTTACCTTCATAAACAAGCTGCTGAACACCCAGGAGACCCAGAGACAGTCCTCACCACTAATTTACCCAAACTGCTGGCCTAACTGGGGCCTCATCCATAAATCTTGGGAAAAGGAAAAATTCGAGCTTGCAACAGAACACCAATTAATAATACATGTAGAAGCAATTAAGAAGTTAGAAAATGAGCACTTGGCCACTATCACAGTAAATAATTACATCAGAAGAGAGTCATCAATGGAGACTAAAATTGGTGGGTGAAAATACGATGAGGAACAGGGTATTTGCATAGATTCTAATACTTTTAAATTAATTTAAAATTAATCACTCAAAGACTTTTTAGTTACTTATTAATTATTAACACAGTACTTAATAATGAATCATCTTAACCAAGTGATAAGTCAACATCACAAGCCATGGGACAAATCGACATCATATGCCCCTAGTGTGATCTGCTGAGTGTCCCTTCTGTGTAATTCCTGCCAAGAAGGCAAAACCTGAATGTAATCTTCAGGACGTATCAGCCACCCACAAACTAAAGTTCATTCAACCAAGTAGGTCTGTACTCTTCAAAAGTGTTAAGTAATAAAAGACAAGGAAAAACTGAAGAAATGCTCCACATTGAGGTGGATATAGAGACATGAAAA